CCCAAGTGTGTTGGGTACTTGGGTTAAGTTAAGGCTTTCATTCAGCTACAGGTTGTGTTCAAGCAATGGGCGGGTGGGTCCAAATGAATAAATAAGCGAGGGGTATTCCAAAAGTGTGAGGGTGCCAATTTTTAATTTTATCCATGTATCATTTACACAATTGTACTTGCTAAGTGTCAAAGAAGAAATAATCAATTGTTTGATTGAATTTATCACAATAGAGAAATATCCACTTTTATGTGCTACTTCGCACGTGGGTAGATGCTTGTTCTCATCAACTTTGTTGAAGAATACAAGCATATCAATCTAAAAATAAAAATAAAATATTAAGGTCGGGATAGAGACAAGAAGACACAAATATAAAATGCATTGCTTTGACAAAACATGAATGATCTATGTAGGCCAATTTCTACAGCACACATGAAATGGATGATTAGCTAAACATAATGTTTATCGTCAAACAAAAACTATTAAGTGTTTCCTAATTGATGTTCCATTAATTGTTTGTTGAGGTGAGGTCAATAAAAAAAAAATTATTTCATAATTCCACTTGAAGATGCATATGATAAGCATCAAAATAAAAAATAAAGCAAACCTTGAGGTTGTGAGAACACTGGAGTTATTGTGTTGCATATCGCACAACGAACATTATTTGTTACACCCTCATAACGGAGTAAGCTTCTACAACCGGAGCAGACAAGTTCACCGGGCATCCTACAATTCGAATAATCAAAAGCTAATAACACTACAAACAATAAGCTATTTACTGTGATGAAGAGATGAAGTGATAGAGATTGAAAATCCTACAAAAGTTCTCTGAGAAAGAAAAATCACCGCTAACATGCATGTGAAGCATTCCTTGAATTAAACAAAAATGGCTTATTTTGCATTTATATTAATTTTAGGGGCATTTACATACACACCATCCAATTCCTATATATTTACATATCTCACACCTAAACAATACTGTTTACATTTATACCACCCAAATCTTTCATATCAAATAAAAAATACCACCTTAAAAAGTGAGAACACCTTCTCATGCAGAGGTAAAGTAGCATGCATGTAAAAAATTAAGGTTTTAGCAGCACACGAACACACAGAAGACTCCGAAAATTAAAGGTATTTTACAGCTTAGAAGTGATAGGATCTTCTGATCTTCTTCCTCTGCTTGTATTATAGAGTAAGCATTTCATTGAATGGCAACACACAGATGCCCACACAATCACATTGTGCAAAAACATAAAAAGATTAAGCTTGACGTGTTAATCACATGCCTCTTAATCATGATGCCAATACCCACAGCAAAAAGCACAGGAATTCAACATACTTTAGGCAATATTTGATAAATCTTCCACTACGGCATGACAAATGAGATTATACCCTTTATCATAATTAGTACCTTATTCTGTCTTATTCATATTCAGCAAACTTTAAAGCTCTTCCATCAAAGTTTTTTTGATTAAAAAGGTTGTCTTTTTTAATTTCATACATTCATCACTGATATTTCACTGCCTCCATTTTTTCATGTTTGCCTCTATAGACCTCTCTCCTCACTAAACCTTTTGGCATCAAAACCCAACCTCAACTCTAAGCTTATGAAGGTAGGAAATCATGATTATGTATTATAAGATTTAGAACATTGCATCTACTAGTAAACTATTTGTGGTTGTCCGCAACCACTAAATAGTAGTCAGGTTGTAAATCCATGCTATTGTAAGAAGACTTCATAAATCGCACTCCAAATGGTTGTGAAAAGGCTAACGATAATTATAATTTCTCCTTCACATCTAACCAAATTCTCTTTTATACTAACTCTCCCTAACCTATACTCCTTCCCCGTCATTAGAATTTTTTATGGCATATGAAATCATGTACAAGACATTCTTTTGCAAATGCAAGCTTCCCTTATGTTTAGCAAATTGCTTAATAAGAGCTATAGGGATCCAAATCATACGATAAGCCAACCCATGTGTAAGCTAAGTGTTTTCGCATAATTTGCTTCTACAAAACTGATAAAAAGTTTTGCAGACCTAGCATGTATGTTTTGGGGATTAGTAATTATTCTGATATATCAACATTCTAAGTGATCAATATAGTTTTGTGTCGGTCAAATCTCCTTGCTTCTAGCTCATTTTGGTACATTATCATTAGTTGCAGAGATCATTGAAGTTTAAATATCAAAAAAAAAAAAAAATCCCACTAATATGCCCGAAAAACTTACATCTGTCTATGCAAATGGAAACAAAAGATTAGGCTTTGTTTGCTACCCAAACAAAATAATTCAAACAATAATACCCATAAGCCGGATGTCTCTGGCATGTTAACACATTTGTTGGAAAGGACCAGGTAAAATTAATGCAAAAAATTAATTACACGAAAAACAATACTTAATCCTGCGATTTTCTATGCAAAATCCAATGCATGACTGAAATTCAACTCTCATTAAAAAATAAACACTTTCAGCGGGGAGGATCACAGATGAAAAAAAGAACAACGGAGCCTCTATCACCATCCCAAATAGAAAACCAACACCGCTTACGACTCCAAATACAAATTCAAAGCAATCAGGATCGAATATTCACCTTCGAAGAACAACGTTCTGTAATCAAACCGAGACAGGGATTCCAAATGAGAATAGCGTCCGGATCCGCAAGACCTTTTCCTTCTGCGTCCAGCAACGATCCGGAACAAAAAATCAACAGCTCCGCAGCAAAATCACGCAAGCAATACCTTCAAGTAACAGGCTCGGAGCTAATTTTCCTGATTTACCTTTTGGCTTTCTCCTTCCTAGACCGATTCGGAGACAAAACCCTAATTTAGTTTCTTCGAGAGATTTCCGTTTCGGCAAAGCGCGTTGCAGTCGTTGAGAAATGCGAATAATCAAAGAAGAAGAAACCGAGAGAGATGTTTGAAATGATTTTATTCTTTAAACGGATAAGAAACGAGTTCTAGTTTGCCCAGTTTTACTTTGTTTATTCAAAGCCATGTAATAAAATTGGAAGCTGTTATTTGCAATTGAACCCATGACAATGATAGAAATTATGCAGGACATTGCTTAACATGTTATTTAATTCATTTATGCTAACAAAGATAACATCTACAAAATATTAAATAAATGTAAGTTTAATCAACATTTAAAAATAGATTTACAAATTATAAAATGTGGAGTCTATATGTTGGGGTGTAAACAAGCCAAACTCGAGCAACCTCATGACTTGTTTATATTCGCTCTTGTGCAAGATAAACATTTGTTCATTCGACTCGATTCAAACTTATTTGTTCAAATTAAACTCATATTCGACTCAAATTTTAGTTTAATCTAAAATTTCAAAAATTAATTTTTTTTTTTAAACATTTTATATTTAACTGAAAATTAAAAGTCCAGTCGCTCTTTTTTTGCTTTTATAAATGATAACGATGGAGCATTTCTCAATCGGATGGTGTGGGACAAAAATTATAAAAAATGGAGAGAAGTTTGGCCGGGCCGATTTTTGGAAAATGAGGCATTTACATATATATCACACATTTCTTTTTTATTTACATCTTTAAACTCAAAAGTCCAGCGGTGGGATTTTTGAAAAATGGGCATTTACCAATATACCACCCAATTCTTATGTATTTATATATCCAAGAGCAAAACTTTATTTTTTAAAAAATCTGATGAGAATTTGTACACCTAGCACCCAATTCTTATGTATTTACATATCTAATATCTAATTTTCTTTTTTACATCTTTATATAAAAAAAAATTTGGTATCTTTTGATTAACTTTTATATATTATTTATTTATTATTTAATTAATTGGAGCTAAAACGAATAAAACATGATAAAACTAAAATTTGTTCGTTTTTGGGCTTTTTATAAATCGAGTTCAAAGAATGTTTTCGTGTTAGACTTGCTTGTTTAACGAACGAATTGAACACAAGCTACTTAACGAGTCGAATACGAGCTGTCTGTGAACAACGAGCTTTTACGACACCCCTATTTATATGCATTACTATAATTTTTATATTTAACATTTAAAACTTAATTCTTCAGGCAATTTAAAAAATATCACCCTCTTCACTTAACCTTTTTCATACGTCCCTTCACACGAATTCAATATAATGATTAATAAAGCTAAGTTTGGTAATTGCTGGAAAATCAATTTGTATTATAGCTCGAATCGGAATAAATTAGCTGACACTTTGAAATGAATTTTTTGAGCTGATTTCAATTCGTACATGAATCGGTTCAAACTAACTTGTAGTATTATTAATTTATAAAAATTATATATAATTCTATCATATATATATATATATATATATATATATATATATATATATAAAATGTTTAGTAATATTGAATATAACAAATTACGAGCCAATTTCAAGCCGATTTCGAGCTAGAATATATTCAAATATCTCAATTTGAGTCAGTTATTTTCAATTTTGAACAAGATTGAGTCGATGCTGAGGTGAAACTGGTCCAACTAGCTCAATTTGAGCCACCTCCTTTTAGGGCCAGATCGAGCTAGCCGAGCCGGCACGAAATTGATCATGACAAGCAACGAGTCTATTTGGAGCCACACTAAATTTATTCAAATCGATTTCGAGCTGGCCCCAATTCAGTTCAAAATTAGACATTAATAGCTCTATGTTCCAGCCTACGTAGTATACTCCCACAGATAAATCAAGATCCAAAATGGTAAGTCACAGGTGATGCAGTTAGAAGTTTCAAGGTGTTAAATATGTAAATTTTGATGAATAAAGTGTTATGTTACTTATGTATATAAATTCCTCTAGTTACATTATATGGCTCATCAATAGAAGTTCATAAGTTCAGTGGGAAATCTGCATACGTACCCCACTATGACTATCTATTTACTTACCCAACAGCTAATGTTTGATATTTATAATTATGCCATCTTGATGTCATAAATCTATGCATAAAAAGATACATTTAACTTTTAAGAAGTCAGCAAATATGATATTTTTAATGTGACGATGCATTTAATTATGAAAGTTTACGCGTTAAACACATAAGAATTGTGTGGTATTTATGTAAATGCCCCTTCTAAAAATGTTTGATATGTAAATGTATAAGAATTGTGTCATATTTATGTAAATGCCCCTTTAATAAATGGTAGATATGTAATGTATATGAAAAATATGTCAGGACAAATTTCGAGACAGATGAACAGATCGGATGGTAGATACGGACGATCAAACGAGGTTTTTGACGATGATTTTGGTTGGATATTAAGGAAAGAGAGAGATGATTTTGGCCATCGGAGGAATGTATCAAGGAACTTCTCTCATGGTGGAGATCAACCCTCAGGACGATCGACAAGAAACATTCTTTTTGGATCGACTGTCAACAGACTCAAGGCACAGCGAACGACCGAGGAGCTTCTTATCGACTGAATCAGTCCTCCAGTGATATTATATGTGGATATTTTTTTGTAATTACCAAAAATTCTTTATAAATGGCTACTAATGAAGGGACTTATATGTATTTTAATAAAAATCTGGACTCATTCTTATAAATAGGGGGTCAATATCATGATAAAGGTTATGCATTACTTGTTGATCTCTACTCTCTCTCTCTCTCTCTATCTCTCTCTCTCTCTAACGCTATACCTTGGGCGTGTTTTCCAGACACTTTCGGATTCAACGTTGTTTAAGGTGCGGTGAGCTTGGCAACATGTCATCAACAAGAAGAGAAGCATAACAATAACAATAGGGAGAATCCAGTCAAAGGAACGTTGTGGAAGCAGAATGCATTAGAGGGTTCATGGAAGAATTTGTTCAACAAGGCATGCAATATTTGAGAACTCAGATCACCAATCAGATGTCAGGACAATTTTCAGAGGTGCTTAAAGTCATGACTGCTTTAATGGTAATCTAACTCCCGGGAGGAGAACCGACCCAGCAAGGAGCACCTAGCCCCCCTCGAGGAGAATCACCAGCAAACAATAGCGGAAGAGTGATCCACCTATAGGAGAAGCCTGACGACCGGTTGTATCAACGCAGTGCCAGATTTGCCCCTGTGGAGGAGAGGAACTGACCAGTGCAGACCGAGGTACAGAGGCAGCCGGAGAATGCTTTCGCTCTACAGGCCTCGGGAGTTGAATCCCCGAAGTAGTTCAAGTTGTATGTCTTATCATATAAAGGACGGTCGGATCCCAACAACCACCTTACGTCATTCGAATCTTCCATATGTCCGTTGAAAAATTCTGATGCCTTCAAGTGTAAATTATTCTTCACAACGTTGAGATCACCTACATTAAGGTGGTTCGACGGATTGCTCGTGAGGGTAATCACCTGTTTTGTGAAGTTCAGGAGACTTTTTTCTATCGCAATTTGTCAGTGCCCTAAGGCCTAAGAAGAATGCCCAATCTCCATGGCAAATGAAGCTGGGAGCCTACAAGAGCTAGCAGTCGTTTATCGCACGTTTCCAAAGCGAAACAGTGGATGTCAAGGATCTAAACCCAACATGTCCCAAGCTGCACTGACATAGGGAGTGAGGACAAAAAGATTATTTTTCGATCTTTAACTCGCAGAGCTACAAAGCTAGGTCGAGCTGTTAGAGATGACCATCAAGTATATCGCCGCTTATGAGAATGTCCTGAAACTCGTCGAATAGAGACATCAAAAACAACCATCACAAGACAACAGAAAGTAGCCCGGACAAAGTACACAACCGGACGTCCACCCTCGATACGAGAACCACCATGGTACAAACCCCGCCCATCGTCATGAGGATCAGATGCTGCAAATCAGGGCCCAGAACCAGCGATTGTCCTATCATCATGAGCACCCCAGGCTTAAAGAGACATCCTAAAATGCCGCAAGAAAAGCATATGAAGCAAACATGTTTTACATACGATGGAATATCGTAGACATCTAGTCAAAATAAAAATTTCCTACTCATCCAAATAAACATGCAATATGATATGATACAAAAGCATAAGGCATGCATGTGATTGGTCGATCGGGTTGTGACGGCCGGTTGAACAGGATTAGACGATCGATCTACGACAATCGATCGGACCCAAAATAGTGGGTGATCAACCCGGGACTGTCGATCTACCCAAAGCAGGTGATCGAACCAGCGCGGGTGATCAAACCCAAAAATATCAGGCAATCAGGCTGGGGCAGGGAATCACGCCCTGAAAATGGGTCAATCCAGATGGGACGACCAATTGGACCAAAACGAGTGATCGAACTAATGTGGTTGATCAAACCTAAGAGATTCGTCGATCAGGCAGGGGCGGTCGATCGAGCCTGAGAAAAGGATCGATTAAGTAGGGATAGCCGATCAGACCCAGAGTAGGTGATCAAACCAGTGTTGTTGATCAAACCTAAGAGATTGAGCAATCAACCCCAAGAAATGGATCGATCAGGTTGAGACAGCCGATCTGACCCAAAGTGGTTGATCGAACTAGTGCGGTCAATCAAACCAAAGAGATCGGGTAAATGGGTCGGGGCGGCCGATCGAGACTGGAAAATGGGTCAATCAGGTCGGGACGACTGATTGGACCTAAAGTGGGTGATTGAACCGGTGTAGTCGATCAAACCGAAGAGATCAGACAATCAAGCCAAAGCGATCGATCAAGCACAGGAAATGGGTCGATTGTGACAGGGTGGCCAATCAAACCCAAAGCGGGTGATCGAACCGGTGCCCTCAATCAAACCCAAGAGATGGGGTGATTGGGCCGGTGCAGCCAATTGAGCCCACAATGGTCGGTCGATCGTGCCTGTGCAACCGATCAAATCAAAGTGACCACGCAGACAAGCATACAAATGCAGTGATGTCATAAATAATCATGCAACCCAAAATACTCGATGAGACGTCGAACTCGCTTTATCAATCACACATGGGATCTAGGGTTGAATTGGCATAAGAGGTGTCAATTTCATATCGTGTGAAGCAACGTGACATTGCCACCTGTTGCCCGATGTAAAGCGAAGGGTTTTCTCACGAGGAGAACTCTCTGTGATCAAACGAATAACGACTAAAGGGATGTCGTCATCCGCTCTACCATTTGATTTCACGTGTCCATCCAAGTGAAATCGCCAAAGCAAACGATGAGGTTGAGTCAACCTCGTCTTTTATGTGATTTTAGTGCAAGGGCTTTAGGGAAAATGCCCGGATTTGTATGGGAGAGTCCACAAAATGCCCTTAACCTATAGATCTCCTCTAAGCACAAAACCCTAGTCCTTAATCCTCTGACAACCAGACCTAGAAGGCTCTAGAAAGGAAAAATGCAAGGGATCAAGGGATTTCGCCTACGGGACGGTTGATCGAAGCATTTCTTTTGTAGGAAGAAGCTTTCCTCGACGGAGAGTGATGAGACAATCAGATTTCTTCTCCAAATTGATGAGGAAGTCTGTCTCACTGAAGATGCAAGAACGTTGGACTCTTCCTTCTCCATAGTCAGGAAGAAGCTCTCCTAGCTGGAGAGTCGCAGGAAAGTCGATAGAGAGGAAGGAGATGACCGTAAAAATGGAGGACAAGATGAAGACGATGAATGAAAATGTTTTCCCTCACCTTCTCTTTGTCGAAGAAAAAGAAATCCTACAAGAAAGCTCCTCCCAAGCTCCCTTTCTCTTGCTCTCCTCCCCAATTCCAATGGTTGTTGATCCAGATGAAACGAGGCTTTTCCCCTTGGTTAAATCTCCTTAAAAGGCATCTCAAAAGATCTAAACCACCTTCACCTTCCTCGTTTAGCATGGTCACAAAAATTTTTAGTATGTCATTTTAGGGTGGAGAACCAAGCAAAAGTAGGAGGATTACAGGTCATGGCTGCATAACCGGCAGGAAACTAGCGTACGGAGGTCAAAAATCGCTAAACAGTTTCGGGCATGGCCATGTCGTTGTTCAAAGTGTCGCGGATCAGGGTCTGGCGTGGCTACGCCCGAAGCCCGGGGTAATTACACCAGGCACTCTGTCTGGCCGGTGTGTTCACGTTGTCCTCAGGTGTTGTCATGCGGGCTGAGGGACCTGGAGTGCCTCGAGGAGGCTTTGGCGTGGTCATGCCACTGGTTAGGCATGGCCACACCAGAATCAGGCATGGTCACGCCATACCACAGAAAATTTTGACTTCTAGAAAAGTTCGTCAAAGGGGTTTCAAACCTCATGGGAACCCACTCAGATATGAGCAGTTATGATCTTAGGACCTCTGTAATGGTCGTGAATGTGTCTCGAAAGAGCTCAAGAAGGTGAACCTTACACGTGTTGCAAAGCACGACGGTTCTAATCTTGAAATTCGTCTGTGCAGACCTTAACCTTAAGGCACGAACACATATAAAGCAATTTAGTTAACAATATGTTATGGGAATATCTGTGTTAGCTAGATACAGTCCCGTGCCATAGGAATGAACTTCATCGCGGAGGATACCAGTGGCAGTGCACGTTTGACCACGATCAACTCGGAGTACAGCTATAACTATGTAAAACTAAACTATAGCATCGTGTTACTCAACGAGGAGGTTCTACGTATGTTGCATCAAAAAAGTAGATGCCAATATATATATATTATATATATATATATATATTGATTTAATTTTTTGTAAAATTAAAATAATGAGTGATTTTGTAGAGAAAATATAGTTTAAAATGAACAAAATCGCAGGTGCATGAAATTAAAAAATAAATGCACACACAAATTTTATGTGTTTTGACACGAACCAACCCCCGAGGTACCTTCATGCTTAGCCAACCATTAGGCTAGAAAATCAATGATAATAAAACACGTCACAACTTACATGTACTTTTTCAAAATTAAAGTGTCATATCAATATGATCTCCCATATATCACAATAATATTGGGCAACCTCCTATTGTTATTTTTCTAGAATAATCATGTATCTACTCATACTTCTACGACATAAGTTATGTTCTAACCTATTACAAATCATACCAGACATAAAATTGCCAACTATTGATGCATATAAAATTCTAAAAATGCATCCACTATTTACATCTTGGGAAAGTGCTACTTCCAAAGTTTATATTGCTTTGTTACATGAGCACTAAATATTAGATCGTTGTGATAACTCTCGTCCAACTTGGTTAGATATATTCCATTCTCACGGAACTTGAGTTCATGTGCCCACATTTCCCATCATCTATCATGCACGTGCACACACACACATATATAATGAACAGCCTAAAAAGACCGAGATTTGCACCACCAACATGTCGCAACATGAACTTTTCAATCCAAACCCAATAAAATTTGTCTCACAAATTCAAACAATGATCGTCTCCTCATGACTTCAATTCCTCTAACATCACTTCTTGATCATGCTTGATATAAATATACAACTCAAAATAAAGAGATTTGATTACGAAGCTTATCTGAAACAAAAATCAATCAAACAAATAGTTGATTATCAAAGACATGGATATTACAAAATCAACAATAAAAATGGATCACTTAACCTGTTTCTTTACAGTTACCCATACCAACTTACGTTCATGGGTTTATACAAGCCTATCGCCTCTATCTAAAATAATAAAAAACCTAATGCACATAACATAAAGAATAAAGGGATCACTAAACATACAAAACATGGATATCATAATCATATATATATAGATATGATGTCTTACTCTCGGTTCTCAATAGCAGTGAAAGTCAATGAACCGTGTGTGTTGTTCCCTGAAGATTCTGGATTTGATGAGGAGGTGGAAGATGATGATAGCAACAAGTCATTTGGCTTCTTCCTCAAAACCTTCAGTTCCATGAAATCTGAAACAAGGCCGGGTTTGGTGATCTGAGTTGACTCGATGTCCACCTCGCCGATCAACATCTTTACAACAGTGGACATCGTGGGACGAAGCTTTGAGGTATCTTGGGTGCACAGAAGGCCAACCTTTAGGAATAAACATGCCTGCTTGATGTCGAGGTCATCAGACAGTATCGCATCGATGATTGACTCGAGCTCTCCTTTCTCGTAAAGTGTCCAAACCTGAGATAAAAAAAGTCATTCATGTCATCGGGGCGGATTCAGGACAGATTTATGTGGAAAAAATAAGACAAAAGATTAAAAGCAGAGGAGAACTAAGCTGGTATAACGCCCTGATAGAACAGACGTTAAAAAACATAAGGATTGGTTAAACATAATCCCTCTGCTACCACCATAGAACCCCGAAAACATGTGCCCAACATTTTTGGTTGTGCCACGTATGAATGTAAATATGAAAGTTTAGGTGTGTGAAATGTACATACATAAGAATTGTGGGCTTTGTATGTAAATTCCCTTTCAAATATACTCACCAGAGGTCTCTTCCCTGAAAAGGTCACTAATATGGTTGAATGGTGATTATGATGAACTCACCTCTTTCTTAAAGAATAAGTAAAACATGCATAGGCAAAACCGATCTTCTAATGGCATTAAAAAATAAATTCACCAAATTTTATCAATTTTTTTCTTGGAAGATTTACATACATAGTAATTTGTATTTATTTTCATATCTAACACCAAAACTTCAATTTATATATATATATATATATATATATATACATATATATCACCTTACCTATATATGAAAATGTGCATTCCATTTTTTTAGAAGTCAAAGTAGTGGCATTTTTTATGTGATATGAATGGTTTGGGTGATATAAATGTAAAAAAGTAAAGTTCGGGTGTTAAGAGATGTAAATACATTAGAATTAGGTGGCATGTGTGTAAATGCCCCCAGCGGCAGAAATGACCAGATTTTTTACATGAGGGTATCAAGCACAAAGAATATGAATGCTAAAACGGCATTCATATCAGCATCTAATTAGGATGTAACATAGCTTCAGCAAAACTAAAGGAAAAAAATAAAAAAAATTGTCATGAAGATGCTGCAACAAGAATACAAAATAGCCAGTAACGAAAGCCTTGAAAAAGGATGCAAAACCTGGAAAAAAACTCACTCTATCCAGAAGAAAATGGTCTCCAAAAGGCAGCCTTGTGTTTGTATTCGATCGGCCGCTAACTATTTCCAACAGAAGAACTCCAAAGCTGTAAACATCTGACTTTCGTGTAACCTGCCCGCGGATAGCATACTCAGGTGCCAAGTATCCTCTAAACAAAACAATATTATATCAGTAGAGAAAAATAAATGTATCCCCAACTCTAAAGAAGACAACTTTATTAACTTTCAGCTGCTAGAATAACTACTATGTTCAGATTCCATAAACAAGCAAAACAACATGATAATTATAATTCTAATGCTTTTCTTATTTAAAATTTCAAACTTTCCCCATACCAACATCACTTAGAATAAAACAAAATAATGTCAACATAATCCCGAGTCTTATATAGGGGTCCAATTTAGTCTCAGAGTTATCAAAGTGTTAATTTAGTTCCCAAAATCTTTGAAACGGGAACAATCTTTCCTGAGAACTATTTCAACCCATATTAAAAGAACTTGGGGACTAATTTGAAACTTTTATAAATTGGGACTAAAATGACACCATGTGAATACTCAGAGAACTATTTTGGCACTATGTTCGATACTGAATACTGAATTCACGGTAGATGAACTCACGCTGTTCCCGCAACTCGGGTGCTGACATGGGTTGCATTTGGAGGCAATAGTTTTGCTAGCCCAAAATCCGATATCTTGGGAGTGAGATCTTTGTCAAGAAGAATATTGCTTGCTTTGATATCACGATGAACGATGTGAGGCACAACTTCCTCGTGAAGAAATGCGAGTCCACGCGCAACACCAATGCAGATTTTACATCTCGTTTTCCAGCTAAACTGAATGTTACTGCGGTTTGCACCTAGGAGCAAGAGAAATGAAATCAGTTTATAAAACACTAATCAAAGAGAAAACTCAGACTTCATTATTTATCTGATAAATAGTCCTCAGTTCTTTAAACTCTTTTTCAAGGATCATGTTAGTCCTAGAGTCTATAAGGTGTTAATTTAATCCTCCGACTCTTTTAAAGAGGGCTAAAATGGTCTTCCCTAAGGGCTATTACAGCCCAATTAAAATTTTCTAGAGATTGATTCTTTATTGCGTGGAAAGTTGGCATGTAAAAGAGAATCCTGAAATTAATTTAAGTGATGATTAGTTGAGAATGCTCAAGTAGATGAGTGGGTCTACACTTAAGAGACAAAATGTGAAAAGAATATATTCGTGAAAGGGTTGGGGTAGATCTAGTGGCGGACAAGATTAAAGAGAGTGCCTTAGATGGTTGGTCACATTAAATATCGACCATTTAATGAACCTGTTATAACTTATAAGAGTAGATAGTTTAGATTTGACTTATGTTAAGAATTGTAGAGGCAGAACTAAATAAACATGGACATGTTGTAAAAAAATTGATTCTAATTTATTATAATTAAATGAAAATATGATGCAATGGAGAAAAAGGATTCCTGTAGCCGAACACACTTAGTGGGATAAAGGCTTGTTGTTGTTCTTGTAGTTGTACAGACTCTAAGAATAAAATGATCTAATGTAAATAGTTAAGGGTCTATTTAGATAATTTGCTCATTTTTAAATTACCAAGAAGAGTTTGAGCGAGACTATTGTTCTCGAGATAATTATAGACGAGTAGTCTGTAATCTCCTTCCATGCAGACCCCGTGCAACTTGACAAGGTTTTCATGCACTATATCTGAGATTGCGGCGATCTCTGATAAGAACTCCTTTGCTCCTTGAGTTGACTCACGGGAGAGCACCTTCACAGCAACATTAGTCCCATTCGAAAGCTTTCCATACAACAACCAATCAAAAATCAAATAAAAGTACTGGCTTGAAACTTTGATTGTGGTAATTGTATGACACAAATTTGTTACCTTATACACAGATCCAAAGCCTCCCTTTCCAACTTTGTTGCCTGGGCTAAAGTCCCCGGTGGCTAATCTTAATTCCTCATAAGAGAATAATTTTACATTTCCCGCAACTGAAAATTATAAAACAAAATCAAAACATTATTTCACCATGGAAAAAAACCTAGAAGAACACATGATGTAGAACTAATTAGGATTAGGATTTTCTAACGCAAAAAAGGAAAAAAATATATATATATATTAGTAGCAAGCTTTCAAATAAAAAAATAAATTTTTGAAGATTCGCAAAGTACAAAATACCAAAAAATCAAACAACTGAATTTCTTTAAATGAAAACTGAAAAAATTCGAATTTAAGAATAATCCATGATGAAATTATAAAAGTATTCAAGAACTTCAATAAAATAAAATAAATAAATAAAATCACATAACAAATTGAAATGATTTCACAAATTAAATCTTTGGCATTTCTTTGGATACGAATCAAGAATATTAGATATATTAATAACAAAATAATGTAGATAAAATAGAACAATGAATGAATGTATTGAAGTAAAAAATCAGGTCTTACACCAGCACAAGGAAAAGGCTTCCCTAGAATCATAGTGTCATAATTGTACCGAACTTGAATGAAACACACATTCAACTTGCATTCACAAACTGAAAACTTAAAAAATAAAAATAAAATTATTCAAGCCAAAAGTTAAGAATTTGACGCTTTAGATAAATAAGTATAGCTCGGATCAATATCAATTCAAGTTTAAATTAATTTCACCAAAAAAAATTCCAAGTTTAGTTTAAAATCTCCAAAGGCAGCTGATAGTGAATGCAAGCACCGTTTAAACTTTCAAAATCTCGTCAAAGCATGCAGTAATGCAAATTTAATAACCGCTGCAACACCCATAATTCCAAACTGAACCACCTAAATATTACAGATAATGCCAAAATACACCAAATAAAAAAACAAAAAAAAAGTCAAAATATCACAGCTGATTTGAAGAAGACGCCATTGCACTACATATGGACATAACATGTTCACCTTCATTGAGCCGGAAAGTCTCCTGGTCCAATGTACCTTTTCTTCGAGGAAAAGACAAACAACAACCCATTTCTGTAGCTGAATAAACAAATATAGCTTATGTGCTTAAAACCCCTGCAAAATTAAATTAGAACATTTAGAAAAACATAAGCCAGACGTACTTTGAATAAGTGTAAAACTTTTTAAATAAGAATATGATTTGAAAGACAATGAGTTTTGGCATCTTATAAATGGAATCAATGATAAATCCATTACTGTTTTTAAGTATGTGCCATTTGCTTCACAAAGAATACTATACTATTGAAGCATTTTAGACAAAACTAGAAAATTGTTTTTTTCTGTGTGTGACGAAAAGATCCTTGGCCTCAATAAGCTATCTACGCTCTGAATTGAAGAACATCAAATGGCGAAACTTAGGTTAGATTAATTAAGGAGTCAAATCCTCATCCTTAAGAGAAAAAAAACCGTTTAAATTTAACATTTGAGAAGCAAAGAAAGCTTGTAGCGAACAAGTAATGTCCATACTGAAGTACAAATCTAACATTAACTTATTAAAAAAACAGAGAGAGAATTCAAATTGTTTAATTTTATCCAAAGTTCTTGATTTTTGGTAATTATGGTTTTTTTTAATTGTTTAAAAGCACATTCTTTTTTCCCTAATAAATTTTTATGCCTTTTCATATCACCACCACTCCTTAAAGATGATCAATTTCTATACAGTCAAAAAATTTTCTACTCAACATTATGAACAAAATAAACCAAGTTATATCATATCAAGTTCAATTCAACTTTAAATTATTTATAATTCTATGTTAATGAATGCAAGTCTAATTTTCTAGGTTATGTGGCAAAAATTTCTATTAAAATCATCTTATAATCCTCTCGTAAATCTTCCTACTAAAACCTATTTGTCTATTAAATTCAGTCACATTAGTTAAATGAGCTATATATGCCCTATAACATACAAGAGTATACATGAAACATCCAACATCACCAGCAAACAACACATTGGACAATTTTAATCTCATCATCAATATTAAGTTTATGCCACGCATTTAACATGAAGTAAGGGATAAAGATATATTAATCATTTTTGCATGGCTCGTTCTTTTCTATTTGGGGCATTTACATGCATACAACTCAATTCTTATGTATTTACATATCTAACATCTAAACATTAATATTTACATTCATAACACTCAAATCCTTACCATAAAATCAAAAATACCTCTTTAATAACATTTTAAAAGTCAAATGCACCCTTTTATGCATCAGCTTATAGCACCAAGGTGTTATAAATGAAAATATCAAACTTTAGTTATTTGACATGTCAATCCATAAAATATGTGTGATATTATGTAAATTTCCCTTATCTTTTTAACACCATCTGCATCACATCTTATACAGGAGGAAAACCCTTTGACTATCATATCCTTACAAATATCCATAGTACCAAGCTCCTTCTTGTGAAGTCTGCTTTCTCAACAATGACCATAAAATGTACATTATCCATACTCTTTTTATGAAAGGAAAAAGAGTACGTACATAAACTTTACTATTGATTAACATATTCAATACCTAAACCTTACTTTTTACATTTATATCCTGCAAATCTTTGATATCACATCAAACATATTAAGATTTTAACTTCTAAAAAGTGAAATACTTTCATGCATAGGTAAGGTGGTATGCCAGTAAAAATTGAAATTTAGGTGTTAATTATGTAAATACATAAGAATTGAGTGGATTGAGTGGTATGTAACTAAATATTGAGTGGTATGTAACTAAATCTTCCTAAAATGATTTCATAATCACACAGTGAAACCATACTTTTTTATATTTGAATGAGCTTATTTCACTTCCTTTGAAACTGCTTTATTCCTTCAACAAGAAAACTTGGTGCTTCCTCACTTGCTCTATGCCATATTTAGGTTGTTCCAGTAATATTTACTCCCAGTATCTTGATGCAGAAACTTAACAAAGTATAATTCTGACGCCGCAAAAAGAGTTACACTGATCTTTTTCTTTACAATAGATAGCCTTTCTACAATCAAACCGAAGCTGATATTTTATATTTCTGATTCTTGCACTTTCCCTATATGTTCATTTGACCTATCTATACTTTTTTTCATAAGAAACTCTCCAACTTATTAGTTTGAAAACCTGCACAAAGTTTCTAACTACTCCAGAACAGCTAATAAACATCTACTTTTCTAACTTCTACCTTCCTCACCAAATTTCATCATTGAATCACAAAGCTCATAACTCTTAACCATATTTTTCATATCCAATGATTAATAAGGAGATTAGCCCTAGATCCACCGGTAACCTCCACCTATCAGCATGGCCACGCTGCACCTGCTTCCAGTGTCTGCTACTCATCAAAACCTTAACAGAGTTAGAAAGTGTTACTTTACCAATAAACGCATATGCTTCCAGACCTATTTCATCTTCTTCCATGCAAAACACTTTACTTCCAAAACAGTCCCTAACACTTGAAGCCAAAGAAAGAAGCAAGAACTGTCCATCCAACCAGGCCCGACGCTGAAGGAACCCCTTTAACATTAATTTAAATGGTTTTTCATTACTTCTACGAACCATGAAACCTAACCTAATATTCCAAAAAAAAAAAAATTAACAGGAAAGCTTAAAGATATTAGAGCTGCATATTAAATAATCAAAATTTCGAAGAACACGCATTCTGAAAGCAAATTACCCACAAAAAGTGCAACACAAATCCAAGAATAAAACTCGCAATAAAGAATCCTGTTCTCCACAGCTACCCAGAAACGAAAATGAATGATTAAAAAAAACAGCAAAATACTGTAAAAGAGCAGCTGACACCAAACCAAGCTCAAATCAGGATATATCGTACCTGGAAAACCAATCTCTGTGGGAAGAAGGCGCCTAAGTTGAAAAGCAGTTGCGGCGAACAGATGTGCGATTAGAAAAGAACGAAAGAGGTGCGAAGGAGATGAGGAGAAGTAGTGGGCGATTGACGCGCGAGGCTGTGTCAAACCACTATGGCCCGGATTTATTGAGACGCGGGCAGATGGGGCCAACGGGCTGCCGATTGGTCTATTGTGGAATGTCCACACACGTATGATTAACTTCGAGAGAACTGTCAAAATAGATTTTATTATTTTTTTATTTTTTAAATCATTTTAATTTAATAATTTTAAAATATATATATATTAATTTAGTATCCAAATTATCATTTAACAAATATCGGGCGAAATTTTTAATGGTTTTTTTTTTTTCGTTCTTATGGTGTTTCGCTTCATCTCTCTCTTTTCCCGTTGAAAACCATGGCCGCCTCCTAATTTCTCATTTTCTGCTCCGATCATGTGGGGCTCTGCTCTGTCTTTGCATGGATGCTTCCTATTTTCCCCGTCCTTTCTGCTTTAATACTACTCAAATCTCTTATGTGTATTTTTCAAAATACGGTATGAATAAATTAATATTAAAAATATATATAATATTATAATTTAATTATTTATTTTGTTGATAATATTGAGCCAGGATAAGCCGAACACGAATGAACAAATATTTGTTTTTGTTCGGTTCATTAATAAGTTGAGCTCAAAAAAAAAAAATTTTGCATTCGATTAACTGCGTTAACAAATAACTCGAACACAAGCTACTTAACTAGTCGAGCACAAGTTGTTCGCAAATGATGAGCTTTTTTGATAACCCTATTTGCAATATTTGTTTCAAATAAAATATTTATTTCTCTAGCTCTTTTTCTGTAGTGTTGTGATCCTTATGTATGCGAGTTTTCAAAATTACTAGATAATCTCGTTCTTACGCATGTGCGGTAGTTCAACTTCTTCTTTTTTCTCTATGTATAAAGGGTGTGGAGTTGATGATGTTACACTTTACTGTGCCATTGTTTCTTCTCACTTCTCATATTTCTCTCGGCTTCCTTTTTTTGCACTATGCTTGATGACTCCAAAATATTCTCTAAAGATCTTTGATTGGACGTATCAAATGACAAATTTGGACGACTATGAGGGACATGAATCAACTGCAGCATACATGTGTTTTCGATCCCATGATTGGGCTTTGGATCCCTTGGGAGAACAACTAGGCCACTTTCTTCTATGGCACCGACCACCTCTTCTACAAGGACCGATTTCGCTTCGGTCTCTAGCTACCTTTCTGTTGGGAGTTGTGTGCTATCTTCACTCGCTATAAAGTCATTCCTGCACTTATACTGCCCAACTCCAAAGTATTTGTTATGACTTTTGCCATCTTTTGTCGTCAGTCTGGAATTTCATGGTCGATCTAGCTTTTCAGCTATATGTTTTTATTCTGCTTCATTAAATTTGCCTCAATTAGCAAGTTTCAGCTTATGGGGCTAGTGTTTTCGGTTCTTTTTAAATTTTGAGTCACCAACCTGAACCATCTAAATGATTCAGAGAAGATGATGGACCGAAAATAAATAGAGTAACATAAAACTAGAAAAAAAAATTAAAATAAATATGGAGAAATTATGTAAGGTAATCCCTGCATGATAGGTCAAATTGTGCATCCAAAAAGATTTGGTTGAAGCACCTTAAAACACATATCCACCAAAAAGTTTCCTACGTAACCATAAAACCAAAATTAAATTTTGTTCTGGGGTCAAGAACAACTCATCGTTGTCGGTTTAACGGCTTCAACGGATACACTGCCAGCGTGTTGGATTAAATTCCAGAGCGTCAATCAAATTTATACGATCCTTTGCATGAACTTCACGAGTTCCTCGAGTGTATAATAAATGACCCCATCCTCATCCGACCGAGTTATCCCCCAGCCTTTGTGATGCAGGATTTTTTCTTAATTTACTTTGCAAATAACAAAGTTTTCAATTGATGAATATATATATTCTTTCAAACATATGATAACTTGGATGGCCGATTTAAATAAAGGTCAGATTTGCTTAATTCGCATGTGCACATTTAACAGGAAAAAAATATTTTAATAATAGAAGTGGCTGTTTTTTTATTGGTTTGAAGGAAAAAAAACATGTGATTCGGCGGTGCATAACTTTGACTTTGTTCGAATAACTATAAATTTTGTTTGAATAAATCTTTAATAAATTTTATTTAGAAAATTTACATTCAAGCATTTACATATCTAACACTTTATAAATAATATTTCAATTTCATTAAAATCAAAACTTACAAGTGAGGGTAAAAAAAAAAAAAAAAGAAAAAAAAACTCCTTTTACATGAAATGGTTAAAAAGTAAATTATAATATTGCAATTGCTTATAAAATGTTGTACTAGGTATTTTTATCTTTTTGTATTGTTGTGTTTTGCTATGTTCTCCCTCTAGGGGGGAATAGTGTTAGAAGTGGAGCCTGGTACGACCCTCCTCTTTCGCTCCTGCGATCGTGAATCGCGATCTCCCGCTCCCGCCTCCTCCATTTTCGCGAATCGGCGCCTCCGTCTGCTCCCGCGCGCGCGAAGCTTTGCGTCGCTTTGCCCGTTACTCCTTTGTCGCGAAAGGTCGCGACTCCTCCCGCTCCTGCTCGATTGCGAAACCGTTCCCGCTTCCTGTTGGCGATAAAAGGTATCGCACGACTTTCCTTTCAGTTAGAGAGAAGTCACGGGCAGAGGAAGGATTTGCGTTGAAGAGAATAAGGAAGAATTTCTTGCTTGTGTTGAAGACATGAATGAGTTATTTCTTGCGGTTAAGTCAAAGGAGATTTCTTCTTTGATTCTTCTTGAGACTTACGGGAGCAGGAGAAGGAAGAAGAATGTGTTCTTCTTGGTGACTTGTGGCAGAAGAGACATATTTTCTCTTGTATATTTTTCTTCTTTTTTGATATTCTTGCTATTGGGTGAATCTTGGTGTAAAGAGAAAGAGCAAGTGAGAGATCCTTAATTGTCGTCGTGATCAAACTGGTGAAAATTTCCTCAATTAGTATAATCCTCTGCAACTCCGTGGATGTAAGTAATTTTCTGAACCACGTAAATCTGTGTGCTCTTTTTGGTGTGATTTTTCTCGTGCTATTTTATTCACTTCGTCGTCGATCGATCACTTCGTCGTTCACTTCGTCGTCGATCGATTTAAATTTCAAATATACCACAACAAATAGTTTTTCGTATGAGTCATTTGTTGGCGCGCATGTTTTGTCCGGACACCTGACGTACCTCTACGTGCAGCCTAGGTTATTTCTGAGTTGTTTTCAGGTTATTTTCAATAATTCTGAAATAACAAAAAAATAAAGACCGCGAGTTATTTCAGGATTATTGAAAATATCCGAGAAATAACCTGAAAATAACTCAAGATACCCTGCGCCGCACGTAGAGCTACGTCAGGAGTACGCAAGAAAAAAATAGACCATCTGTTGGGGGTAAAAACTCTTTATTCGGAGGGAAAAAGTCCCTAGTCAGAGTGTTCTTCTATTCAGAAAAAAAGCCATCTAAGAATAGCCAATTCAAATTTTCTCGATATATGTGCAGACTATTTTCATACACTCCAATTTTTATTTATATATAAATAGATGTATATCATTTTTGATACACTAAAATAATGTATTTTTATGTGATACTAAAGATTGGGCGGTATAGATTTAAAAAAATAAATTCGAGATGTTAGGGATATGAAAATTCATAAAAATTAGGTGGTATGTATGTAAATGCTCCTTTGTTTATATTATGGCCCAGACTGAACGACGCGGACCAATAATTAATGGCATATCGATTAACGGGCTAAGCATTTCAATTTCTTTATTATTATTAGGCCGCTTTTATTTGTCATATCACTCTAAGAAATGACAAGGAATAAAATAATTTAAATTTTTATTTAAATCATTTGTTTAATAGTTTGATTAAAATTTAATAGTCAATTTAAGGTGTACTGGTCAATAATAACTTAAATTTAAAATAAATAGTAAAATTTGTCCACTATGAATATCGCAGTCAAATTAGTTTGGCAGAAAGATGATTGGCCATGAAAATATCTCAATTGAAGTTGGAATTTATTTATTAATAATAATTTACATGCACACCACATAACTGAATCACATGTAACATCTAAAATTTGATATTTACATTTATTTTATATTGATATGAAAAAAATATCCATGATAATATATATTTCATTTTTAAATTGTTAGTATATTTTTTTTTAATTTAATATTTTGCGTGTCATATTTGTAAATACATAAGAATTATGTGGTATGTATGCATGTGAATGTCTAAGGGCCCGTTTGGGACAGCTTATAAGTGCGGGCGGCGTTTTGAAAACGCCGCCTCGCTGTTTGGTACCCACTTATCGCCGGATTATCAAAAGTTGCGTTTTCAAAATTGTGAAAGACGCGGATCGCGGGCTGACCCCCGCGATCCGCGTTTTACCACCTAATTTTACGCACTTGTCCTCGTTATTCAAAATTTTCCTTTTTATTATTTTGTAGTATGGATGAATAAGATATCCACCACATACGCACAGTCACCTTTACCCTTACCTTACTGTACTATTACTATCTCAAACACGTTGACAGAAACCCATGCATGACTTCAACTGAAGTAGGAGACAGATGGGTTGGTGAGTTATTACGGGGTCATCCAACACGGTTCTTTAATATGTTCCGTATGACACAAGAAATATTTCATGATCTTCTAAATGAACTCCGGATCAATCATGGGTTTCACGGCTCTGCAAGAACAACCCCAAGGGAAGTGCTTGCAATAACTCTATACATCTTATCCTAAAATGAATCAATAAGAGGGGCTATGGAGCGTTTCCAACATTCATCTGAAACCATCAGTCGATATTTCTCAGTCGGTTTGCACTCTCTTGTGAGTTTGGCCCAGAAGGTAGTGAAGCCCGAGGATCCAACATTCCATTCAATTCCGTCACAAATTGCAAATGACCCTCGATACATGCCATTTTTTAAGGT